TAACTGGGAAGAAAAATTTAGTTGTATTCTTTAATAATGACTTTTTTCATAGAAGAACTACACTCAAGGCTCTGGTGCAAAGCCTAAGTGTAACAGATGTTATCCAAGTAATTTGAAAGAAGAAGAAATGTGTTGCATTGCTCATCTGCCATGCTGAGAGGGATGCCTGCCACCAAGCAAGAATTCAGTCAGGAGGGCAAAGTTTCTTCTCCATTGACTTATAACTGGCAATACCAAACCATATCATCTACACTTGATTGATGGATTGGAGGATGCAAGAATATCTAGAGCAGAAATGGTCTCGTGAAATCCTGAAGTAGTAATGGTTGTGCAAACCCATTGTTATCGTGTTATAGTTTGTTGTGTCCACAAGCATAAGGGTGACTTGACGGTCTGTGTTAACTCACCAGGTGACTTTGAAGGCACAGACTCCTCATACACATAGGGAAATTGGCAAACATTTAGGCTGCATTTGCAGGAAATTTCTTAGATTTGAACTCATTCACAAACATTTGCATAAGGGCTACAACACCTCTAGTTAACATTATAAATTTGGTTGTGTGTCAAACATGAAAATCATTAGGCTCACATCCACTCCAAGTCATTCTTCATCTTATTATTCAACATTGATAATTATTTGTGTTACATACTTTAATAGATCAAGCACATGCACAGTGTATTGAAAATCCTCAGTACTACAGATACATGTGTGATTCCTACTGTTTATGTTTACAAAGTCAGGTTTTTCATACTTAACCCATGTACTACTAAAATCACATCCTAACACTCAGACACATAAAAACACAGTCCTTTTCAGACACACAAATTCACAGGCACACAAAATCACAGACACAAACATTTATGCACACACACACACACACACACACACACACACACACACACACACACACACACACACACACACACACACACACACACACACACACACACACACACACACACACACACACACACACACATGCATACACACCTTCCCACACACATTCACACACACACATACATACACACACGCATACACATTCACACACACACACATTCACACGCACATACATACATACACACATTCTCCCTATCACATCAACCCCCCCCCCTACACATCCCTCTTCACACAGGCACACACAACACACACACACACACACACACACACACACACACACACACACACACACACACACACACACACACACACACACACACACACACACACAACACACACACACATACACACACAACACACACACACACACACACACACACCACACACACACACACACACACACACACACACACACACACACACACACACACACACACACACACACACACACACATACATTCTCCCGACCACATCTACCCCACCCACATCCCTCTCAACACACACACACACACACATACATACATACATACATACATACATACATCCATACATACATACATACATACATACATACATACATTCTCCTACCACATCTACCCCCCCCCACACACACACACGCACACATCCCTCTCAACACACGACATCACCCCACACACATCCCCCCACACACATCCCCCCCCACACACATCCCCCACACACACACCCCCCCACACACACACATCCCCCCCACACACATCCCCCCCACACACACATCCCCCCACACACATCCCCCACACACATCACCCCCCACACACACACACACATCCCCCCACACACATCACACACACATCCCCCCCCACACACACATCCACCCCACACACACTTCCACACACATCCCCCACACACACACCCCCACACCACATCACCCCCCACACACACACATCCCCCCATACACATCCCCCACACACACATCCCCCCCACACACATCCCCCCCCCACACACACATCCCCCCACACACATCCCCCCCCACACACATCCCCCACACACACATCCCCAAACACATCCCCCACACACACACTTCCCCCCCACCCACAATTCCCCCCACACACATCCCTCATACACACATACCACATACCCACACACACTCACACACTCACACACTCACACATTCCCCCTGAGACACGCACATAACTACACACACACATAGCCACAAACACACACAACCATATATGCACACAAACCCATACTCTTACCTATACACACAACACACACAACACACACAACACACACAACACACACAACACATACAACACACACAACACATACAACACACACACTAACACAAGCATACACTAACACACATACACACACACTAACACACATACACACACACTAACACACACACATACACACACTAACACACACATACACACACTAACACACACACACTAACACACACACACTAACACACACACACACCACTAACACACACTAACACACACTAACACACACAACACTAACACACACATCACTAACACACACATACACTAACACACACATACACTAACACACCACACACACACACACACACACACACACACACACACACACACCACACACATA